TAATAGGCACACACATTTATGCTTCTGAATTTGTTTGTGTACTAAAGTTACTATTTAGTCCAGTGATGTAACTCAGCTTCTGAGACTCTACTGTGTATTATAAAACTCTAAAGCTCTAAAAGACTCTTCGATTTCCAATTGCCGATAAACTTAACCTAACTCACAATACATAAGTATTGCCACATAGGAATTGGTTATATGGTTGAAATCCTCTTACAATATGTCCAGTTTTATATTGGGATATATATATTGTGGTATATTTCTATAATGTTTTCCGATAAAGCACAAATACAAGAATGCTAGTTTTTGATAAAATGAAACAAGATGTTAGGACACGTATCTATTGGTGCAGAATATGTCTTTAAGCTTGACTTCCATTTAAGCATCCAGTAAAACAGGTTAATGGAGCTGGCTTTTTGACTCAGCAGAAACAACAGAGGACAAAAATATATTCATGTTCAGGCCTCAGGAACATTTCACAGTAGTGTTACAGTCAGATTTCACATAAATTTATTGCTGTGTCACTAATTTATCTTCTCCTTTGTTGTGGGGTTCCTGTACTTACCTCAACCCTCTTGTTTGTTTACCTCAGCTCAGTGAAATGGCCTGAGACTACAGGCAAAACCAAGCTCCATAAAGGGGTGGAAAATGTTTGTATTTGTTCCTTTTAGGTGAGGTGAAAAGTCAAGAGTCTCTTTCACTGTGGTCGTCTCTCTCTGACTGGCCCTCTTTGTTCTGAGGATAGAACAGTGGTTCAGTGATATGTGTTTTGACCTGCCCTAGTCTTCTGCTATCTGGTGTTTGACATCCACAGAAAGCTGATGCTGTGAAATTGAATGCAGTGGGCGAGCTCTCAGCAGGAGTCCAAAACATTAGCTATTAGCGGCAGGCGACAGAAGCCTGTTCTCCCTCACTGCCAGACTGAATGGAGAGGCATCTCTGTTGCTCTCTCCACACCTCTCCCCCTCTTGCTGTCTGTCATTGTACTTTATCTTTCTGCCTTTTTAAGTGTTTCACCTCCTGCAGCATCATCAGTAGCTGTGGTTACGTGCAAGAATTGTTGGCTGTACTCCGGCTAAGGTCTTACTCAATTTACCTTGTTTACACGACCAGCTGATTCCCTGCGATTGAGTTTTCCTGTTTCTATGAATAAAACAGGAGACAGAGATGCACTATTTCTGTCTTATTTTTTAACAGTCCAACAAAAAGATAAAGTAAGAAAAGGTTCAGCGTACTATTGGGGGTGACAGGCGGAGAGAGGAGAGGGTATGACGCTGGGATGGATTCTCTGGGAAAATCACAAAGGCTGGTTGAGTGTGCATACATACAGAGAGATGTGATAACACAATGTATCTTTATTTCACATGCAATATATAACCTCTCTCAAAGATACTTAATATTTTAATACATTGGGGAAAAAAGGTTAGAAAATGGATATCTTTAACAAATGAGCCATGGGCTATCTGGGAAAAGAAATGTTCTAGCATCTATGCAGTGGAAGTCTTAAGTTAGAGTTGCAACTAATTAACATTTTCATCATTGATTAGTTTATTTTGAGTAGTTGATAGATCATTTAGTCTATTAAATGTAAAAAAGCATCACAAGTTCCCACAGTTTAACATAACATCTTGTTTGCTTATCAACAGTCCGAAGGTGATGATGGAAAACAGATAAGATAAATTACTGTTTAATTGATTTCCAAAATGTTGTTTTTGAAACAGATTTTGTCTAACTGATTGATGAATTAATCAATTAATCATAATGTCAGCCCTGGTGAGATTTTTGCGGAATATGGAGCAAAAAAAGTGAAATGATGTGTAAACTCCACAACAACCTGATAAAATTATCTGGTTGTTTGTTTGTTAATCCATCCCAAACCCACTGATTAGGACGTAAATCTGTGGAAGCAGGTGATAAATATATATATATATATATATATATATATGTGTGTGTGTGTACTATAGTGGCATATATATGTTTAGCACTATAGTGGCAAACATTGCTCAAACAGCAGGAAATAGTGGATTTGTTGAGGACTATTTTCAGCAGTGGATTAATACACATTTGGTGCTCTAGTGTTTCCGGCTGCCAATAGGTTTATGTGGGACAGTAAATTACTGGCCTGTGTGGTAATAGGAACAAGCTTTATCAGGCTCTGGTTATACAGAAAAATACTTGTCAGTAGGATCATTTAGTAGGATTGTCAATTTGACGATAAGAAATCTTTCAAGCTTTATCCTTTAAAATAAAAAAACATCAGACATTGAAATTAAGGTATATAAACAAAACCAGCTAAAAATAAAATTGCATTGTAATCATAGCCATCATTCCAAATCCTTTTTGGCTGCTACTCTTGGTAAATGCTGCACATATGAACATGCCACGGGCAAAAGGCTGCTCAAAACAATATCATCATCATACAAATGGGGGAAATTATTTCCATCGACAGAGCCAGATGCTGTTGATTTCATGGCTTCCCGAAATGTATTTTGTTTAGAATCGGCATGATAATCAGACAATTAGGGGCCTGATTGAAGAGAGCCCCAGGAGGCGAAAGTGAAACCACTGGAAAATATATTCTCATTCCTGACACAGAATCTGACTCACTCAGGTACCACAATTGTCTCACCGATACTTCGACTGTGTAGGAGAATTTGCTACAGTGCTGTTGAATCATGGTATTATTGAATAAGAAAAAAAATTTCTGAATCAAAAGGAAACACCTTAAAATCTCTGAAACAGCTTTTTAAAATAACTACTCCATCCGTATTCTTTGCAGGATTTGATCTATTTTTTTCAGTAACTGGGAGAGAACAGGGAAGGCAGGGTTTTGGGCGTAGCTCTACCTATGCAGATGACAATCTTTTCCCAGATTACACATGTTTAGTGTGTGGCTGAGTATTTATCCTCTGCTGCTCTAATCTAAGTCGATGTGAAGCAGACATTGCCTTCTCTCTCACTGCCTAGGCTCGCAGCAGGTATTACCCACTACAACCATTGCACCTAGTCAACATCACCAACAACTATAGTTGAGCTGCATAATTTGTATGTAGAGATAGTTGAAACATGGGGATTATGCAGGGATTTCTAAGCATCTTAATCCATATATATGTGAAAATATTTATATTTATAAAAAAAAAATACTCAGTGATTATCCTTCAAAGTATGTGACAGTCGTAAGTTGCATTAATGTCTCGTTTTAGCATTTCTCTCTAATGTTGTCACATGCATTGTAGGAGATAGAGAGCAGCAGCCTTTGAAGTCAGTCAGTTCCTAGATCCTATTAAATATCAAATGCATGTGTTTGTCCTCTCAATAATCCCCACAAAGCTGCTATTCTGTAGCACTTTGAATGTTGGACCAACTCTTCTACTTGAAGTCAGTTTTTGAGACTGTGGCACTTATTATTATGTATGGTAAATGGCCCAAACTTCTTTTGACTTTTGTTTGTTTTCAGTGCTAATAATGCAGGTAAATGGGTAAAGTTTCCTTTTTTTTGTGACAACTTGGTATGACTGCTGCATGGCTAAGAAGCACATGGGTGAGATTCAAAGGGTTGCAAACCAGCCTCCACTGAAACAACCTGTTTATGAGTAAACTAGCATTATATATTTAATATATATATTATAATATATATAATTTGAGATAACTGACAACTGTTACAATTTTAATTTTACAATTGTTATTGTGTCAGAACACTTTCTTAAGTGAGAAATAACCATTTAGGTTTTGAATATGTGGTTGATTTATCAAAATAATAATTCATTTTGGAGGCTAAACTTCAGTCTCAGAGCCTAAATCTAGTGTTTGTTGCTAGTCAAATTTATTTGGTCCAAATTAAAGGTTCACATTTTTATTAACAATGGACAGCACGGCTGTCTCTGGGTTCTTTTGGCTCCCTATATTTGCAGTGAATGAATTGCAGTGATAATAATGGGAACATTTGAAAGCGCAAAGAAAAAATTGTTAAAAGGACCATTGAGCTGCGAATATTTGTCACACAGCAGGTGTTTTTAAGTATAATCAGCAGAGCACGGCAGAGCTGGTCATGTCAGCAAGACTGCAAACTGTTTTTGTCCCGTTTGCAAGACCTGGTACCGGTTTGAACTTGATGTACTCTGGTTGTATAGCAACAGAAATTAGAAATCATTATTTTCTTCAGTAGTGACAGTGATTCCATTCTTAAGCAGAACTTAAGTAACATAACTAAATTACTAGACAGTTCTCCTTAATACCTCCTCTTTACGACCACAGAATTGCACAGGCAAGTGTAATGCAAATTCTTAGGGGGATGAAGGACTAGCACAACTTCACTTGAATGCTCACTAACATAGAAATTCAAAAATGCTTCCAGTTATTTTTTACTGCTTGAATGCCGTCTTCAATGTATAATTTTGATTTAGAAAAACAGTTTTCTTCTGTGTTTTCCATTTCACTGGCTCCTAAAAATCACCCTGCCTTATACGTCTGAGTGGTTTGATGTCTGTCCTTATCATAGTAAATGTATTTCTTCCTGCCACACTTATTATTCACCGTGCTGAGGCGCACACTAAGCCTCGCAGTATGCCCCGGTCGTGTTAAAACATCCAAATCAAACCGTCTTCAGATTTGTTTTAATAAAGCCAACTCATCCTGTGAGTCACAGGGCCTGGCGCTGCTCTGCTCTGATACATGGCTCTGACCTCACAGGGCAGTATCAGTCACCAAGCAGCGCTCTGACCTTACAGACATAGACAACCTTTTAATAGCACTGTTTCTGCTCAAGTCTAAACTTGTTTATATCATTTGCACAATGGCAAAAATTGATGGAATACTGAAACTAGATTTCTTGTTGGCTCCTTGTGCTTTATCACAGTCAACCAGTTTTAAGTGCATGTCCTCATCTTTAAGGATTTATGGGTTGCAATTTAATTGGAGGGAATTAGTGGACATTTAGCTCCTAATATCCATCAAATTAATCTCTAACTCTGTGTTTCTCCTCCATCTCCTCTCTCTCACAGGAAATCCAGAATGGCTTCTGGGATTAACCTCTGCTATTGGTAGAACTACCCAGAAGTCCACGTCTATTTGCACAGCATCTCACAGCCTGGGAAATTCCATAATGTAATTGTATCTTGCTCTTTTTTTCTTTCTTCGGTAAAACCTTCGGCTTTGTGCCATGAACCTTAGAGGATCTACCGGGACCGCTATTTCCTTAGTTTGGATTTAGATTCCTCTTTTATTGGGACTACTGCACGGGCCTGCAGCGGTGGCTAGTGGTGGTGGCTGCGGCGGCGGTGGTGGGAGGACCTTACCACCTTGGAAAACAGGGATAACTTTACAAAAGCACGCGCCACCATGAGGATATCCACCACCTCCTGTCTCTGTCCCTTTCTGGTCTGCCTCTGCTTCATCCAGAGGTGCTACGGGGCAAGCCACCATGTCCCTGCCAAAGTGCCCTCCAAGAACCAGACCAAACTGGCCAATGGGGAGACGGAGGTGCACCACAGGCCTAAGCGGGGCTGGATCTGGAACCAGTTCTTTGTTTTAGAAGAACACATGGGACCAGACCCACAGTATGTGGGAAAGGTAGGATTGTTAATGAACTGTCTGCAACTGTAAAAAAAAAAAAAAAAAAGAAATCTTTTGATCCCAGGGAACTTGCTTTTTAACAGCTTACTTGGCATTTTTCTCTCTTCTCTTGTTTATTGAGAAATGGGTTACAGCAGGAGCAAGCTGTTCTATTGAGGTAGATTGCCACGTCGGCATTGTACATGCTTCTATTATCTTCTGATGTGGAAATTCAGGTCTCATTTGTGAAGGTGTGTGTGGTTTTTTTTTTGTCCTGTCATTACGATGTCTGACCGATTTTCCTCTCATGTTAATGTCCAAAAAATGTTTTATTCTCCGTAATTAAGGAGTGCCTCCCAGCATGCCTGTCACTCTGGGAAGCCAGCTATGCAAGAGTGGATTCAGTTTGAAAGTGAGAATAGCCCTCTACATCAAGCTATCTCTGAAATGAAATATTAGATTTGGTCTCTCTGTGGGAAATGAACCCAGATTTGATCTCTAGGTGGGAAATGAACCACCACAGTGAGAAATTGGCCAGTAGTGCAATGGGGACATTGTAAGCCAGGGCGCCTCATAGTTAGAACATTTTATGAATGTAATTTCAGTGTCTTTTCAGCGTGACTGCTTGTGCATAGGGTATGGTGTAACCTGGTTGTTGGTGGTGACTTTTCTGTTAGCTCCACAATAAGCCACAGGGAGCTGGTTAAGTCCTCTGCTTGCAGATTGCCTGCCCTTATCTCCTGAAATGTGTTTCTCCGCTGCAGTGATCATTATTCTAGGCACTCAGGCACAGACTAATCCCCTCAACCGCACTCCGAGAGAAAGAGAATGAGAAAGGCAGAACGCTCCTCTGACTGCACATATGTCTGTATTTCAACAACAGCACCATTTGAAGGGAAAAAGGGAAGAAAGGAGGGATGACATGCTTGGAAAAAGGTTGAGGGGAAAACAAAATCAACAACAGCAAATATCACTTTCCACCTCAAATGACTGTTTATTGAATGAACCTGGGGTTTTAATCACTGATGTCCTTGCGAAGCTGACAAAGCAGGAAAGAAAGGTTATTTATTGGTGAAACATGTTTTTGCTAATATTATTTGACGCATGAATGGACCATAAAATCCCACAGTGCCAACAAAAACAATCCCTCAGCACTGTGTCCTGAGTATTAGACAATAACAAAGGTATTTGCAGCACATTCAAAGCGTCAGTTTGTTGATAGGCTAACTGCATGGAGACGTAGTTACTCTTACTTTAAATTCGTCCACTGCTTTGAAGTTCACGATTGCTTGGTTTGCTGGCTGGTTTGGTTGATGTGCTAGTTCTACTCCTACCTTAAGGGTGTTGTTGTTCTGTGTTTGTGTGTGTGTGTGTGTGTGTGTGTGTGGCGGGTGCAGCTGATGAAAGCAAAATAAACATAAACAGCTAATCCTGGATGATAATAAAGCACTGAGAAGAAACATAAACATTATTAAGGAATCAATTTGACATGCATGTTTAAAGAGATGAGGTCTCCAGATGGTTAGCACAGAAAAACATTTAATTATGTGGGTTGGGACTGGTGTGCAGTGTCCTAATGTGGCCAGGAGACAGAATGACCCTTAATTAGACGAAGACAGGGGAGGAGGAGGGGGAGGAGGATTAATGCACTCAGCACGTACTGCGCTGTATTGTTTTTTTCTTACTCCCTTTCCTTGATTAAAAACTCTGGACATTAGCGAGCAGCAAATGAGCAGTTCCACTACAGGGAATTGCCAACACTTTCTTTGTCGATAATTGCCATTATCAAAAAATGGGAGGTTCTGAAACAGACGTTTCACGATAAGATGCGTGGAATAGTGCACACAGTAACAAAATTCTAATTATTGCATGGTCAACATAAAAAAGCAGATGTGTGCTAAGAAATCTGCAATGTCAAACAGTACATGCACACCACAATGCAATACTTGGTGTTGGAAATGTTAGCTGTACATTTTACCAACACTTTCACATAAAGGACAGCACAGTTACTAGAGGGACTTCTGGGAATAAGTAAAGCGGCCAGTCTGTCAAGAACATTTTTAATCCCCCTGAGGTATGCCATAATCCCCAGTGACACCTTTCTGGGGGGCTGATGCATTTGGGAAATGACAGCTTTGTGCGTGAGTGAGACGCAAATGCTGGGTAGGGGACAGGGCTTGTCCAGATACGAGACAGGAGACAACCCACTCTCCCAATGGGAGGTGTGTATGTCTTCATGTCAATCAGCTCAGCGTGGTGCTTTGATGTAGTTGGGTAGGTTACAAACTGGATGGTAATTTTTAGAAGACGATGCAAATCCCCAAACCCTGAATGAGTTTGAACTGCAGTGAACTGTCTGCTGTAACTTAGTTGGAGGAGCAGTTGAACAGTTGCAGCTGTTGGATAAAAAGAAACAGAGCCTTGGACTGACATCCTTGAATCGAACTTCGTCATTGGGTGTCTGGCCACTGCTAAAATATACAGTAAATAATTGAGATTTGACAGAATGGGTGCTTCATCCCAGACTAGGAGGAATACCCCTTGTCTCATCATGTGTTCATTTGCAGAGCAAAGTAGCAACCTCTAAGAAAGGTGCCTAAATGTTTTATTCATACATCTAAAAATGGATTGTGCTGTGACAGAATCGGGCAACTGTCTTGTCATATGTACGGTAATAGCTTAACAGTGGGAATAGGGAAAAAAGTGAAGCCAGGTTTTTACATAAAATTGCTTTTCACCCACACTTTGCAATGCAAGAAACAGTGCATACAGAATATAATTTTTTCTGTGTTAAAGCAGTGAAGTGTTACATGAAATAACAAGGAAAATTTCACAGCCAGGGTTACATTATTAGCCTACTCGGCATTGTTGGGAAGAGAAACATCCTGAAAATTGCAGAAATAATACTTAAGCAACAACTTAGTGGAAGAAATACTGTTTGTATGTGTAGTAGGGCTACAACTACATACTTTCTTTCTCTTTTACTTACTGTTTTCACTGAAAATTTTAGAAAGTAGTGAAAAAAACCCATAGCAGTTTCCCAGAGCTCAAAATTATGTCTTCAGATTGCTTGTTTTGTCTGACTATCAGTAATAAAATGTTCTATTTAGAATTATATAAAACTGTTTTCTGTGAGAAAAACAGTGAATTCTCTTTACAAACTCTCTTTAATAAGTGACTTAAAGTATTCATTGACTTTTTTTGGTCAATTGGGTTGAACAAGATATAACATTACATTGGCAGTTGATATACCAAATTTATTACCTAATAGTTGGATATTTACATATTGAAGACACACAACAGTGACACAGGCATTCATTTGAGTTCATGTATTTGGCCACCTAATGCATATTGGACAGAATATACTCTAATTCACTCACTAATTTTAGTTTTACTTTGGTCTCCACCAGCTCCTGAGGGAGATAACTGGTTCTTTAGCTGCTAATATTGACCAGCATGCTGCCAACTTTGTATGTCTGCTGTTTGGTGCTGTACAGGTAACTTACAGTTGTTTTAATGAGAGCTGCTGTGTCCTGCTACATCTGGAAATGAGGCTGATGAACCAAACTGTAAGTTGTGAGCATTCAAACCAAAACCATGAGCCAGAACAGCCAAAACAGCCTAAAAAGCCTTGCATACCCTTATAGAGAAGGGGACTGCAGGGCCACAAGTGACACCTTTCATGATACAAATAGTCATATGATCTATTGTTAATATAAAAGTATTGAGTGCTGTAGGTTTAAACATTTAATGATGACATGTACATTCAGTAAATACTGTGTGTGCATAAGTGGCAAAGAGTGGCATTCACAGATTTTTTTTTTTTCCACCTGGCTTTTGGGCAGTCTTTCTTTGGAAAGGCTCATTGTTATCTGGTCAGGGATAGAAATAGAACTGTATCTGGTGTGCCAAGTCCTTGATACGGTCTCACTTTCACCAAACAAAAGATGATAAAAAAAAGTAAACTCAGGCAAGTGAATTACAGTTGAACTTGGAATTGATTCAACAACTGCAGAAAATAACACTTGGATCCTATGAATGCTGCCTGTGCAGGCATGCGTAATTTCCAAAGTGCATTCCTCTGTCCTCTGGCTGAAACATTCAAACATATTAGCACCATTTAGACACTTGAGACTAAAACCATTCGCCTTCACTCACTGCCAGAGCACAAGGCAGAAACATGTTTTCCAAAGCTGATCTGCTGACGGTTTCATTTCTGTCTCATTCCAATATCAAATTTTAGCAGCAGTTAAGAGGCAGAGCCATTAAATGAGTGTCAGAGTTGCTTCCGGGACTCTAATAATCTCATTACTGTACATCAAGAAGTCAACCATCCTGCTGAGAAGACAACGATTCATTCTCTTTCTCCCTGTAGATGTCAAAATAGAGGACAACTATTAGGGCGGATCTTGGTGATGTGCATCAACGGCACGTCTTCAACACGCCCCTTATCACTGTCTCTTGATGTATGGTCATTAGGCGGGCGCTCCATCATCAGAGTTTACTGTGACTGTTACAAATCAATCGAAGAGAAGGGGGCGCTTAGAGGAGTTGATTGGGAGGGTGCATGGCCAAAATTTGGTGATAATCAGACAATCAAGCACGCCCACATAAAAAGTGATTAAGTCCTCTTGAGTGAAGTAAAAGAGCCGAGATTTAATCAAAAACTAACCCACGCCCCCCCCTTCACTAATTGCAAATATGAAGCCAAGGCACTGATCATCAGCTAGGGCACGTAGCCTGCTTCTCTTCACTCCCCCCTGCTCCCCTCACCATGTGCATTGTTGATGGAATAAATGCTTCACACCCTGACTCCCACCTTCGACTCTCATTTCTGCATCAGCAAGACCTGTTTTCAACATTAAAGCAATGCATGTTTTTCATGTTTATGTTTTAGTGAATCTTTTGCAACCAGTGTGAAGTAAATGTTGCTACTGTTTGTCAAGTGCCAGTCTTATTCCAAGAGTTGTGAAATCACAACAATGAATACACAGCCAAACAAAGATGCTGAGCATGTA